TATTTATTCTGGAAAATTCGATTTTCTCTACGGCAAGCCTAAATCTGATTAGTTGTTAGTTTCCTCATCTTCTTCCCCACCCTCTTTTCTTATTTTTTTGATTTATTTTATTTATTTTTACTTATTCTGAAAATTCTTGGCGGCAACCCTAAATTTGATTAGGTGTTAGCTTTTTTTGCTTTCGACACACGTTTTGACCCCGTGGGGGTAACGAAGTGCTGCCGAAATTTTTTGATTTTCTCTTACTTAGTCTTTTCGGCACACTTCAACCCCATGGGGGTAACGAAATGATGCCAAAATTTTTGAAAAATCAGATAACCCATTTCTCCCTACCTCCTCACACACTTATTTACTTATTTATTTATTTTTATTTTTTATTTATTTTTTGAATTTTTTATTTATTTATTTATTTGCGGCATCTCTAGTGTGCACACCTCGTTCTCTCCTTTTCCCTTGGCACATTCTTGACCCCGTGGGGGGTAGGGAAACGCTGCCGAAAATTTCAAAAAAATAAATATTGTTTCTCTTCACATCTTTTTATTTACTTATTTTTTTAATTATTTTTATTATTTATTATTTATTTATTTTTTATTTATTTTTATTCCCTCTCGAAACCTCGCTGTTTATTTATTTTTCTCCTGTCCCCCCCCCCCTTCCTTTATGCTTGCTATTTTACTTTCTTGATTAGGTCATCGGTACCCTACCCTAGCCTTAAACCTCGGTTAGGGTTTTCTTAGTTTTTTTTGTAGGGTTTAGGGTTCCTCAAAACCCCCCTACTTCCCCGTCCTCTTCGGGCCCCCTGGACCCGAACTACCCCTCCCCCTTTGACGGCGCCCGTGCTAGCCTTGCTAGCGCTGTTCGCCGCTTTCTACCGCGGACTTCCCCGTACGCCCTCCGCTCACGCGGACCTCTTATGGCCCCCTCCAGTCCGGTCCGTCATCTCCCCATGGCCGATGGTGCGTCATACGCCGTCGACACGGCGATGACCACGGCATCGGTCTCCACACCCGTGCCGGCGGACCAGGGCCATCAGCCCCCAGGGGATCTTCACACCCTCCTCACCTTTCTCCTTGCGCCCATCCAGGCGCAACTCGCGACCCTCGCGCCCATCCAGGCGCAATTCGCGACCCTCGGACCCTTACAGGCGCAGGTGGCGACCCTTGCCGCCKGCGTGCAGCAACTCCARGACGCTGGTCGTCCTTCCTCTCCTCATCCTCTCTCTTCTCCTRGCTCTCAGTCCGGGTCCCCAGTTCTCCGACAGGGTGGCCACGACGGAGTTTCCTCCTCTGYCGCCCCCGACCCGRCCATTTTGGTGACCGTCCACGCCCCTAGCTCGACGGCCGCCRCGAGTMAGGCCCTTCCTCAGTCTACGGGCGCACCGGCCCAGATTCCGGTTACGACGTTCACGGGACCACAACCCGTTACCATGGTCTCAGCGTTTCCGGGTGCCCCGCTCCTCCCCCCCCTTCGCACGACCGCARCRCCACCTGGCTCTCCCCCCTCTGGGATGCCCCGCGCCGCTTGTGCATCCACTTCCTCCACTCTTCCCCCTGCTACCCCTCGCACGACCTACGTTCGAGGTCTCGAGGACGAGATTGCCCAGCTCCGTGCCAACCTCGCCCTCTTACGCCTTCAGCCATCCCCCCCCTTACAGGTGGCCGCGCCTTCGGGCGCACCCCCTACCTCCTCTACCCTTCCTCCCATGCAGGCTCGCTTTCCGCGCCCTGCACCCTCTACAACTCCTTCCTACCTTCTTCGTACTCCCGCGGTTGCCGCGACCTCTTCTACCGCAGCACCCTCGCAGCCTGCCGCTGTTGCCACCGCCGCTTCCCCATGCGGCCCGGACGCACAGTCAGCTGCGCCCCTTTCTCCAGGACCTGCGCCGACTTACTCAGCTGTACCACAGGCCCCCGCTCCTCGATCCCCTCGCCGCCACTACGGTGACACACCACTCATCCGCTTGTCAGATATCGCCTTGTATGACGGTACAGGCATACGCGTGTCTCGGTGGCTGCAGTCGGCCACCCGCACACTCCAGCTCATGGGCGCCACACCCGAGACGTGGGTGGGTCACCTCTCAACGCGCCTTCGTGGCGGTCCTTTCGAGGCCTGGGAGGATTTCTATGCCTACTCCCTTCGTGAGGGTCGGACTCCGACCTTCGTGGATTTCCAGGTGTTCCTCGAGGATCGCTTCGGAGCCCGATACGACGTGACTGACGCCTTCGAGCGTGTCGTCACTACACGCTGGTCCGACTCTGGTGGCGCTGCCGGCCTGGATCGCCACATCCAGGTCTTTCAGGACGCCCGCCTCGATTGCGACGTGGCGTTCCTCCCTGAGGCCGCCCTTATCGATCGTTTCTTGGCCAGCCCTCGGCTCGAGTACCGCTCCGAGCTATGGCGGTACGAGTTCACATCGGCCCCACAGGCTTACGAGGCCGCCAGGGATCACCAGCGGATGCGAGCTCGTCTTCACCCCGCCTCCTCCTCCCAGCCCCAGCGCACGGGCTACGCCTCCTCCTCCTCTCACGGTACTTCCCAGTGCCGTTCCCCTTTCCGCGGTCGCCCCCGCCGTTCCACGCAGCAGGGCCGCCACTTCTCGCGCCGCTTCAGCACGCTGGAGCATGGTGAGCAGGACGCTGTTGCCCCACTGTCATCTGAGGGCGACCACAGCGACGACCTCGATCTCTGCGAGGCCGTCCACTATCACTTGGAGGACTCTACTCTCCATGCAGCTGAGCGCCTTCAGCTCGCGCTCTCTGCCCTCTCTCGGGCACGCAGCCGCCCCGGTCATGCTGGCGCATCGCCCCCCGAGGTCCCCCTCAGGAGGACCTCCCTGAGGGCTTCGTCCCTCCTTGTGGTGTCCTTTCCCCTGAGGAGCGCGCGGCTATTCTGGGCCGGCGTGGGTGTTTCCGCTGCCGCTTAGACGCTCATACCTCCTCGCGGTGCCCTTACACTACCGCCCTCGACCGCCACTACGCTGACCTTTCTCGTCAGCGTCGTGCTCAGTCCCCCCCCGGCGCCTCACGTCCCCGCGGCGCCTCCTAGCCACGGTGCAGTGTACACCTGCGCCCTCCTCAGTAGTGGGCTTCCCGACATCTCCGTCGCGGTTCGCCCCTCTCGCTACTGGAGTTGAGGTATCGCAGGACTCGACAGAGTGTACTCCGCCCTTTGTTGCAATATCGTCTGCGCCTCCGCAGACCACCGTCTCCCCTCCTTCCCCGCCCCGACTACCGACGTGTCGAACCATTCGCTCAGCCCGTTGTAGCGAGCAGCTTGCTACTCGCGAGGACGTTGTGTCCTCTCTTCTGGACTTGAGCATGCTTCAGGCTCGTCAGGAGCGACTCACCCTCCATGTCGCTGCACTGCGTCGCCTTCTCGCCATYCTCTCTGACCCTGATCGCACCCTCCTGATCATCCCCGTACGACTCGGGACCTTCACGAGGGTGTACTCAGCGCTGTGGGATTCCGGTTCTCAGGGCGACTTCATTCACCCACGCGTGGTGAAGGAAGCCCGCTTAC